AATGGGGACTTGGGTGGCGTCTTCCCCTCCTCGCGAGGCCTTAGGCAGGGAGACCCCTTGTCCCCGACCCTTTTTTTCTTGGCTGCAGATCTCTTATCACGAGGCTTGGAGCGCCTCTACAGCCGTTTTACGGATCTGTACTATCGGTGTCGTGGTCGGTTCCGGCTGACGCACCTTGCTTATGCGGATGATGTCCTCATATTCGCTAATACCTGTGGCAATCGCATCAGCCTTCTGACCGACTTTCTGACGACTTACGCACGGATTACTGGCCAGAAGGTGAATTGTCAGAAAAGCCAGCTTGTTTTCAGCCGCCAGTGCCCGGAGAGTGTTCAACGACAGCTCCAATCGGTGACTGGTTTTTGCGTAGCTGAACTCCCTCTTACATATCTTGGCGCGCCCCTCTATGTGGGCAATCGGCGCAATATTCTTTATGAGGAACTCCTTGGAAAACTCCGTCGTTATCTGCAGCGTTGGGATCGATCGGTTCTATCTCACGGGGGTCGATTACAGTTAATCAGGAGCACTTTGTTCTCGCTCCCCCTCTATCTTCTGCAGGTACTTTGCCCCCCCCGGGCGGTACTTCACTCTGTGGAGCAACTTTTTGCTCGTTTTTTCTGGGGTTCTTATCACGGGCACCGCCGCCGCCATTGGATCTCCTGGGCGGATATTGACGGCCACAGGAGGAGGGTGGGCTTGGCATTCGTCGCCTGGCCGATACGGTTCAGGCCTTCTCGTTTAAACTGTGGTGGCGACTCAGAGATGGCTCCTCCCTTTGGGCTCGCGCGCTTCAACAGAAATATTTTCGGAATTCCTTTCCAGGACTTGCACCCTGCAGGAGCTACGACAGCCCGGTTTGGAAGCGCCTCTGCCAGGTTCGAGACGAGGCACAGACTCAGATCACTTGGAATTTGGGGCGTGGGGACTGCTTCTTCTGGTATGATACTTGGTGTGGAGATCGTCCGCTATGCGCTGACCGCCAGGACCGCCCTCCGCCGATACGGGTGAAAGAGATGTGGGTTAACGGGACGTGGGACTTGACGCGCCTCCGAGCTTACCTCCCTGAAACCCTTGTTCAGCAGGTCTCGGCGATTCCTTCTGATCTCCAGATTGCGGATCAGCCGATCTGGAAGGCCTCGACCACAGGTACTTTCTCTACAACCTCAGCATGGGAGATGAGCCGAACAGCTGGAGCACGGAGCTGGCTCTCTTGCAGCTTGTGGTCGCCGCTTCTTACTCCTACAATGTCGGTATTCCTATGGCGTTTATTTCGCCGTCGGATACCCGTCGATGAGGCCTTACGGAAGATGGGCCTCCCTATTGTCTCTTGCTGCCAGTGCTGTCGGGAGTCTGAGACAATCGAGCACTTATTCTTCTCGTCGGCGGTTGCCCAGCGCGTGTGGCGCCATCTTGCCGATCTATTTCATATCCAAATCCCGCGGACACATGCGCCCCACCTGATGGTTTCCGCTTGGCGTCTGTCCTCCCCACATGCGCGGAGTATCCGCACTTATATACCGCTTCTGGCCTTCTGGTTTCTTTGGACGGCACGGAATGACGCCAAACACCGAGGTATCCAGATTTCATCTGACAGGATTATTTGGCGTATTCACTCTCATTTGCAGGTCCTTGGCCGTGCTGGCCTCCTTCAGCGTCAGCACTGGCCTGGGGAGGTGCACCTAGCCTCTAGTCTCGGCCTTCGCCTCCCACCTCCGGTTCTTCGGCCGCCGGTCATGGTACGCTGGGAAGCCCCGTCTCCAGGCTGGTTCAAACTCAATACTGATGGGGCATCGCTCGGGAATCCAGGCGCCGCTGGAGCCGCGGGCGTCATTCGGGATGCCACCGGCGCCCCAATTGTGGCATTCCAAGTTCCCCTTTTGAATACGACGAACACTTTGGCCGAACTGCAGGCGATTCGATCTGGAGTGGACCTGGCGGTTACCCGCGGCCTCCTCCCTCTCTGGATCGAGACGGACTCGGCCAGCAGTATCTCTCTCATCTCCTCCTCGACGGGACACTGGACTCTCCAGCCTTGTCTCCACCACCTGCGCCTACAGCTTCGCAGCATCGAGTGGAGGATCTCTCATATTTTCCGCGAGGGCAATAAAGTGGCGGACAACTTGGCGAACACCTCTGTTGCCCTTCCTCACATGCGGATCCTTGAGCCGGCGGACATCCCTGCGAGGACCCGTGGCCTCATCCATGCTGACGCGGCGGGCCTCCCGTGCTTTCGCTTCCGTTAGCTTTTATTTGCTTACAATCTTTATTTACATTCGCATCATTTGTACCGAACTTTGCAGAACTACGTATGGCTTGATCCCGTTGGGGTACGTAGGCAGCTCTTTGAGCCCAACCAAAGAAAAAAAAAAAAAAAAAAACCCTAAACCCTAAACCTTAAACCCTAAGCCCTAAGCCCTAAGCCCTAAGCCCTAAACCCTAAACCCTAAACCCTAAACCCTAAACCCTAAAATAAAATATAGTTAAATTTGTAATTGTAATTAGTGTTTACTAATTATTATTATATTAAAAAATGTTACTAATTTTGTGAGATGGTTAAAAGAAGAAAGATGGACTAATTTCACGGAAAAGCGGTATTTAACTTTTTTTTAATATGAATTTTTTAATTAACGGTTGATAATATTAAAACGTGCACGCAACTTTGAAATAATAATAATCATAATTAAAAAAAAAATTGGTCGGTGGAGTCAAGCCCATTGAACAATTGTTATTAGTTGGATGGTTTTTACGGTGGATTTATTTGTAAATACATAATTTTTATATTACATAAATTAATTAGAGACACGTGGTTAGTTGTCGATTTAAATATAGGTTGTGACGTGGGATGTCTGTCAATTAAATTGAATTGAAATCATCTGGGTTATAATTTAGTAAGACGTAGCAATCGACTTTTTTTTTTTTTTCAAAATTTAAAAATATTAGATTAATTAAGAGTATGTTTTTTTTGTTTATTTTGATGATAAATAGGCAATCTCGTTATTTTTCCTCAAAATTTTTAATATCGTATCAGAGCTTATTTTTCTCATGCCGTAGATATAGCCTATCAACTTTCGTTTCTCCGGGTACATTCAACCTGGGATGTACCTAAAGATCTTTTATATAGTTCCTAGCTCTTTCTTTTTATAATTTTGATTTTGTCTTTAGTCTTGATTTTGTCTACTTTTGCAGTTATATCTGCACAACGGTCCACGATCCCTCTATTGCGTTTCTCCAGTGCCATTATTTTTGACTCCACCGTGAGTGCCGTTATTTCCGACTCCATCAAGAGTCTAGTTGAAAGCATTATTTATGGCATTAATCATCATCGTCACCATCAAATGGATTTTTGTTAGGAACTTCTGGATTCCAATCATCTGCTACGGCAAGCAAATAACTGTTATTTTTATTCGTGTCTTTTACGTCTGTATTCAATTTTTTATCAAATTCAAGTTGATTTTTGTTATACCACTTGAGTTTAAGGGGGAATGTTGAAATATTTTAGATATTTAGTTTTAGATTCAGTAGATTTATATTTAAATTTGATATTAGATTAGATTATTTAGATTTAAGTTTATCAAATCCGTTTTGTATTACTTATAGACTCTTTATTTTTATGATTAAAAAAATAATCATATTAATTTCCCTAAAATTTCTAACATAAAATTTAAACATATTGTGTACACAAGCAATTCTAAACTTTAATCTTAAGCTCGTTACTTTAATAAGACAACCAAAAACCTATTATGAAAAAAATTAAATCAATAATTCATAAGAATATGAACTAATACATAAATGATAATATCAAATAAAGATGAATATATATGTATAACTAAAAAAAATATTCACATAAAATAGTGATAATAGTTTTTAAAAAACCACAAACACGATGTCTTTTTGTTTTTTAAATTCAACGTTTATTGGGCTTTTATATTAAGCATATTAATATTATGTTTCAAATAAAATATTGTAACTTTTTTAACCAACTCATTCCAATAATAAATATTTTTATCATTGTTTTAATCATTCTTGGCACTTTCAGCAATAATCAAATGTCAATATTTTTTCAATCAAACACAAATTAGTAAATTTATTTTTTAATCAATTCCATCGTCAAATATAACCTCAAGTACTTCAATTTTTGAATTTTACATATAAAAAAACTCTTAAAATTATTTTCAATTAAAATTTCCAACAAGTATCGCCCGATCAAGCTAGACTTATTATTATTATGACCCCGACTTCTTATGTTTGGACCTAAAAAATATATTTGAAAACTTTCCGGCCGTGCCAGTATCACCTAGATCGAACCTGGACTTTGTAAAATTAGACTGTGTCTGACTTAGTCCGATTTAATAAATTAAATATAATTTACAATAAATAATTTTATGAATATATGTTATAAGTATAATATAATAGTTTTTGTTTTGCCAATAAATTTAATTCTTCCACTTCTTCAACAAAATTTATTAAATTATTTTAAAATTTAAAAAATATATGAATAAAATAATTAAAAATTGGGCTCTTAAGCCCGATATAAAACTACGCTGAGTCTATTTTGAATAAAAATGAATCAGGTTGGCCAGCCCAAATTTGCCACCTCTATTTGTTTTTGTTTTTTTTTTTTTTAATTATTATCTTTATAATATGCAATAGCAATAAAAAAATTTTCGAAAACTTTTCGTACTATTAAATAATGTTTTTATTTTAACTAGCACATGTAAAAGTTTTTTTTTTAATAAATCAAAATAAGAAAAAATATAGAATATATTATAATAAAAAAAAAATATTGAATGTTTTTTTTAATTTAAATATGAATAATCATATTTTTATGTAATATTCTGACTATATTAACATTACAAATGATGAGAGGAAAAAAAAAAGTAAATAATACGACGTACAACCCATAGAAGCTGCGAATAGGGCAAGTGGGAGGAACCTGAAAATGTACAACTCTTTGAAGCAGACAAATTGGGTCAGACCGAGGGTACAAATATCACACACAATGACACAGATTACCCGTTTGCAAGGACGAGTATGGAGTTCAAGGGCAACCCCGAGCAGGAGGACGACGTTTATGGCGGCGAACTTCCCGAGGAAGCCTACATGGAGACCGATTTCGAGTCAGCTGCTGCTGCGGCTGAAGCTGTTGACGACGACTCCAAAGCTAAGGTTTATAATCCCTTTTTGTGCCCTGCTAAAGATATGTGAATTGAATCGGATAGTTACATAGGCCTCTGCTGGTGTTTTTTAAAGCGAATAGATGATAGAATTATTGATTTCTTAGGAGTTTGATTTCGTAGGAGCTGGAGGATATGAAGAAGAGATTGCAAGAAATTGAAAAAGAAGCTGGCGCTCTTCGTGAGTTGCAGGCGAAGGTTGAGAAGGAGATGCACGGAACTCAAGGTTTTTATCTCTTATCCTGATTTGTAAACTTTTAATGTTTCTGCTGATTCGATTTTTTGATGGATTTAGTTTGGCTTTCTGAATGTTTGACATTTATGTCTGTGAATATCTAGGGTTTAGTAATGCCTTAGGTTTATTTTGAATATGAGGATTAGAAGGGGTAAATATGATGTGGTGATAATTGTAGAAACTGGAAAATGGAGTTAGCTTTAGGTCACAACTAAATCTTGATTGCAGAATTGTGTTTTATCAACAAACTTGATTTTCTAAACAAATTTATTTTGATTTGTCGAATATTTTGTCGGTATTTTGAGATCTATCTGATAGGATGTGCTTCATTAATGGAAAAGTTGGAATTCTTTGGATTATCCGAGTGATTTCTTGATTTTAGTAGTGACAACTTGCTTGGGCCTTAATATGAGCCAGAGTCCCCAATATTAGTTTGATGTCGATTAATTTTGGTTGGAAATTAGGATTTAGAGATTAGGGATCGCCTCATGTAATATGGCAATGGTTTTCAGGGATTTAGGATATCATAAATGAATTATCTAACCTGCGAAGCATGAATGAGTACTTCAAGATGCTATATAAGCATACAGATAATAATTCACGCGCTTGTGTCGTTACATTACACGTGGAAGTATGCTAGAGTAACTGCTGGGATAATGTCATCTTTTTGTATTATCTGACACATGTTCGTTAGAGATTCACATATTGTCTTTGTCTTTTGGGTTTATTAGACGATTCAAGTGAAGCCTCTGCTACCCAGGCTGAAAAGGAAGAGATTGATTCCCGGTCAATATACGTTGGCAATGTGAGTTTGTTTTCCTTTATTTTTATTCAGAGCTTTTCCATTTTTGTGTGAAAATTCTGCGTATTTTCTGTTTTTGTGTTGCTTGAATCACTTCATAAGAAGGATTTCATTTCAAAGTAGTTAATATTCAGCTCCATTCAAGGAATATGTTTTTCACAAATTCATAACCAGTTTCTAAATATTGCATGCCGACAAAGTATATAGGTTATTTTTCCTTTTTTATTCTTCGATTTAATAATACCTGCATTTCAAGAAAGGATTATAGGTTGCTAGATATGCTTGCCATATATTTTTCATCTAGTAGATTCACAGTGTCATATACATGTCTGCACTTTTGGAATGCAACCTTCGACAGATTGTATCAAACTAGAAAACTAATAGCTCTAATACATCGTCATTTGTTGCACAACTGATTTAGTCAAACATCGCTCTCCATAACTGTAGGTTGACTATGCATGCACGCCGGAGGAGGTACAGCAACATTTTCAGTCTTGTGGGACCGTGAATAGGGTCACCATTTTAACAGACAAGTTTGGGCAACCCAAAGGGTTTGCTTACGTGGAATTTGAGGAAGTCGAGGCTGTACAGAATGCTATACTGCTGAACGAAACAGAGTTACATGGCCGTCAACTAAAGGTCATCAATACTTTCTTATTGCACCCACTTAACTAAAAATAAATGTATCTTCTTGTCCTGAGAGAATTTCGACATAAAACAGGTGTCAGCAAAGCGAACCAATATTCCTGGAATGCGGCAATCTCAAGGTAGGCGCCCTACTCGTTTTGGTTCTAGAAGACCCTTCATTCCTGGCTCTCCAGTATTTCCTCCGTACGGGTGAGCATGTCCAAAATCACAGAATTGTTGCACCTTTTTTTTAAGAGAAAAACATGTCTCTCGATCAATTGAAATCTGATATCATGGTTTCGTCTGCAGGAGGTTTCCGAGGTACAGACGCCCTGTTCGCTACAGGCCGTATTGATGAAACTTTCGCATCAATATCGATGGGTATGATAATTGCCGCTAGTAGCATCCAATTGTGCCCGATATTACATTGAAACCTTTGTAAAACAACCTTTTTATGACGTTGGCTTGCAAGTACAATCTTATAGATCTATATAACCATATTAAACTCCAGGATGAAAGAAAATCGCCTGGCCTTTTTATTTTTTGACTTTTTTTTGGTTTAATGTTTTCATAACATCCATTTTGCTTAGGTTGGAATCGGTCATAGAAAGAAGTTCCTTAAATCTGTCGATGTCCTTAGCTTAATGCTGTTATTGGAGCCTTTCAACGAGCCTAACTTTTTGGAAAAAATCTCGACTAGACTATAAAATATATGTTAAAAATATTATGTCTATATATAAGCTCATCTGCTTTGAGTAACTCTGAGTGTGTTTAGCTTGTTATGTATGTGTATATATATATATATATATATTATTTTGTGATTTAATATAGTATTTGTGAGAGAAAATAGTTAGTTTTTATTAAGAAATTGACTAGTTGAGGATTTTAAAGTTAAGAGCGGAATTTGTTATATAATTAACTAGCCTGAAATATGAATAGTTATGTATTTGAGCGTAATAGTTATGTATTTTTGTTTTATAAACGTTGTGTTTGTTTGAGAGATTGGATTATATTTTCACTATTCATTCTATTTTTTTCTTCCCAACAAATATTAAATCAAACATCTATTTTTTATTTTTTATATTATATTAAATTCAATTTTACATTCAAAATATTACATCAACACCTATTTATATCGCATCATACAACTATTCAAATTTAAAATTTTTACTATTCAAATTCCAACTCAAAATTCAAATCCCCAAACAAACACACCATAAAGTATATTAAATTCCACTAAGTTTGATAAAGCAAGTTAAGGCTGTTATTGTTTGGGGGTTTAGATTTTTAATTGAGATTTAAATAGTAATAATTTTGAATTTGAATAGTTGTATGATATAATATAAATAGGTGTTGATCCAATGTATTAAATGTAAAAAAATAAGTATTTGATTTGATGTTTTTGGGGAAAAAAAAATAGAATGAACAGTGGATTAAAAATCCAATTCCCCAAACAAACATATATTTAGGGTTTGTTCGTTTGAAGGATTCTACAAAAATCCTACTATTCATCTAAAATTTTCCCCCCAAAAACATCAAATCAAACACCTATTTTTCATTTTTTATATTATACTAAAAATAAATTTTACATTCAAAACATCACATCAACACCTATTTATATCACATCATACAACTATTCAAATTCAAAATTTTTACTATTCAAATCTCAACTCAAAATCCAATCCTCCAAACAAACACACCCTTAGTATAATAAATAGGCAAGAGCTGGTGTTTGTAATTTAAATTCATGATATCACTTTGGGTTTTCAAAAACAAACCTTTATTACTAACTAGTAGTGATATAAATAAAATTATATTAATTTTTTAATAAAATATAATTTGAATTAAAATTTAAATTCATACAAAAAAAAAAAAAAAAAACAAATCAAAATTCAAAAATCAGTATTTTCATATTTTTTGCTTCACTTCTTTTAGTACTTTCAATAAATGAATCTATTCAAAAAAATATATTTTTACTTTTTTTCTTCAATAAAATATATATAGTTAAAACTTTAATTTTTTTATAAAATTAAATTTATGTTAAATATTTATATATATTTTTATTTATTTGTATTATACAAAATTTAATTTTTACAAATTTATATTTTAAAATATTTTAAACACATATTTAAATTTTTTTTTAATGATATAATATATCACAAATTCAGCTTAAAATTCAATGGGTAACCAAAAATAATTTTTTATAAAATATTATTTTTAAAATATAATATATTAATGAAGATTAGTTATTATTAATAATAAATTATAATTATATAAAATATGAATTAATATAATACGTCTTAATATTTTTAACATTATATCTTAATAAAATATATCATATAAATATCATTTGGAATTTTATATAATATAAATAAAATATATATTTATAATTAAGTTCAATTAATTTTATAAAAATAAAAAATTTAAATATAGATAAAAATATTTATTTATTAAAAACAATACAAAAATATTTTGAAGTACGGAGTGTTTGGAGAATATGTGCTACACCAATAACTCATTCGAACACCTATTCAAGGTCAACTTTCGAAGCGTAGTAATCACAGTTATAACACCTATAGTTTGGGTTGTGTTTGAGACGAGATTTAAGAAACATTGATAGTATATTGATAATGGATAAAAAGTATGCGTAAAAGTCTTTTTTGCGTTATTAGTATAAAAAGTAGTGGCAATTGTGTAATAATAATTAAAAAATAAGGATAATTTTATAGTGATATGATTATTTATAGAAATAAGACTATTATTTTGAAATGGTAAACAAGAGGTATTGGATGAGAGTATATTATTTATTTGTTAAAGTATCTTTAAAATGAAATTAATTATTTAATACCAAATTTTATTTTTTTATATTATTCATATAATTCTTATAATTCCTCAGTCCCATTAAAAAATTTTACTTTTTATTTTTGTAAATTCCAAAATAAAATAATTATTTCATAATTAGTAATTATACTACTGATACTGTATTATAAAAAAGACATTACTTTTATATTCCAATCAATTATAATACTAATAAACACCATCGAGAGCATCTAAATTTAAAAAATATCCATCCAACCGTTCAAAATGAAGAACCCCACCCCTGTATATACACACACGTTGGTTTTAGATTTTTTCCCCTTCATCGGTTCTCGCCGTATCCGACCGGATCCGGGTCCGTCTTGCGTTGATCGGGTTCCGGATATGGTAAACCCGTTTTCTAGAACTCTATCAGAGCGGATCCCCATTTATTTATCAGAGGACAAGGGATAAAAGGGATTAGGGTTTAGGAAATTTGCATTGGGGTTTCATCCATGTCGTCCGATCAAGACTTCCCCGATGAAGAATCGGCTCCTCCATCCTCGTAAGTCCTCGGATGTGCTCGTAACTTTCCTTTTTCTTTTCTCTTACTCGTTTATCGGAATTTTGTGCATTTTGGATTAGGTTTTTGTTGATAATTTGTTCAATTGCAGACCAAAATGTAAGTATAAGGATCCAGATGATGGCCGCCAGCGATTCTTGCTTGAGCTGGAGTTCGTTCAGTGCCTTGCGAACCCTACCTACATCCATTGTACGTACTTGATTGATTTCCTCTGTCTGTGTGTTTTTGGTTCTGTAGATGATTTTTTTTTTTCAATATTTCGATTATTGATTCAGGAAAGAATTGATAATAATTGCTTCTTTGTTTTGTTTTGATTAGATTTGATTTTGTTCAACATTTTCCATTGCTACAAAATGAGGTGCTGTTAGCTTTTTGGAGAATTAAGTTGAGAACATTCAATTATTGTTTCAAAATACCATTGGAAGGAGACTAAATCACTTGTGACAAAAGTGGAGTGGTTCATGACTTTTATTGTGATTGTATTATTTCTGTAGGTTAGGCTTGATTCATTGTAGTGTACGGATCAAGCTTGTATTTGTACTGTCTTCTTTTAGTTACGTCGTTTTAAGTTTTTTTCATAATTGTATGATATTGCAAATTCTTTTATAAAATTCTATGTAAGTTGATATTTCCCTTGTGTCAGTGCAGATTTGGCTCAAAATCGTTATTTTGAAGATGAAGCATTTATTGGATACCTTAAATATCTTCAATATTGGCAAAGGCCTGAGTACATAAAGTTTATTATGTGAGTTCGTAGTTTTTATTGTTTTATTATTTTACAGTTTTTCTTTGTGTGCGCATAAATGGCTTTTGTTCTTCGTTTTGAACATAACTTCTTTGCACTTTACAGTTTAATACATTAATACTATAATACATTCATGTGTAATCTTCATTTTACCCATCATCGATACCATTCTCATTTTATGTTGTTCTTTTTGGGGGGGGGGGGGGGTCAGGTATCCTCATTGCCTCTTCTTTCTCGAGCTTCTGCAAAATCCGAACTTCCGAAATGCTATGGCGCATCCTGCAAACAAGGTTCTATTTTGTTGGAATATCTCTTTGTGCAATAAATTAGTTTAAAATAGTTGAGGCTATATTTGTTTGTGTGGTGCTTTTAGTGTTTTCGGGGTATTTGGGATTTGCACTTTTTTGATTAAAAAAATAAAAATAATTTAGTGTTTTTTACAAAGATATATTGGATGTGATATTTCAAATATAAAATGGGTTTTTAAAATGTCACGTCTTAAATGAAAAAATGTTTAAATGTGGCGATTTCGCGGGAAAATTTAAATTTAACTATAAACTGCAGAGTGCAAAAAAAATAATCAAACATATAAGTTTGTTTCGATTTAGTTTGAATGTGAATTTTTTATTTGAGTTCTTGTTTTAATAGTTAATTTTGATATGATATTTTGAAAAAGCAAAGAATATATTTTTATCGAAAACTATACGGACTAAACAATGATGCTTTTGGTGTCAAATGAAAACAAACGGTACAAACAACTCACCCTAGATATCTTTTGTGCATTTTCTTAGCCTAACCAAGTATCATTTTGCTGTATTTTTCTATTCTCAAGTTTTAAATTGCACTTAACTATATCTCTTTTTAAGTCTAATTCCGGGCATATATCCACCGGTCCTTATAGGAATTGGCGCATAGGCAGCAATTTTACTATTGGAAGAACTATAGAAACAACAGATTGAAGCATATACTACCAAAATCACTTCCCGAACCTGCTAATGCTAATGCGCCACCCTCTGCTGCTACGGCTCCTCCATCTTTGCCGCCTGCTGCTACTGGAAATCTGGGCCCTCCAGTTCCTTCTCCAGCTGCTGCTCAATCTCCGTCTTCAATGCAATTTAGCGTAGGCCCTGGTTCGACTTTTATGAAGAACGATCCAAGAAATAGTGGGATTGATAGAAGAAAGAGAAAGTAAGGTAAGCTGTTGTTTCTTCTTGCGCCTACCGGTTAAATACGGTTGTTTTAGTTTCCTCTTGGATAGGTGAGTCGATTTTTCGAATGATAAGTAGTTAAGCTGTATGCAAGAGTATTTCGACACAAACGCATGAAGATAACTGCTCCATAGTTGCATCATAATATGATGGATGAAATCTTTTAGGAAAGTTTTCTTATAATTCACATGTGATTTGGAAAATCTGCATTATCAAGTACGCAATTTTTAAAATATTATATAGAATTTATTATTTAGGTGATTATGTGCAATATTTTTTAAAATACGAGAGAGCGTGCCTCATACGATTTCTAAGAGATTATGTAGAATGTTTTTAAAGGACAAGGAAGTTTCATGCGAAATTGTGTATACACTCGACTAACGTCATAAATTGCTATTATTTCAGCATAATTTAAGATTAGTGTTTGTTTTGTAGATCTTCTTGAAATAGCAATACCTCAACAACTAAATATACAGTTATATTTGAGACTTGACTTTATGATGGTTAAAAAGATGCCCAACATTTGCATATTCAATCAATTTATGTTGAGATATTTTTTAATATAATAGATTGAGATTAATGGTTCCTTGAATATAACAACAATTGTATTTAATACATTTCTAATGTTATTGTATTGCCATTGTACTAAACTTTGCTAATAAGTTCATAGAAAAAGCTATATTTAGTGGTGTATTTTTCGGACTACATTAGTGCACCAACAATGCAAGTATGCACTTCAAAACCAATTATTTTTTCATTTTTTTAGTCGGCCTAAAAGGATTATCGGTAAGATTAAGAGTTCTAATAACTATTGGAGTATGAAATGAATGTGTTTTTTATCTATTGTGAATCGCTTTAATACTTTTTTGGTATATAAAAATTGATAGAATAAAAAATTTATATTTCAAATGTTCAATTTTTAGACCAAAATATAATTTTATTTTTTCGAAATCAAAAGTTTCAAGCATCTTTTTCGGATAGTCAATAGTTCTTTGGAGCTTTTTCAAACGATCATACAATTTTTTATAATTGAATGGAATAATATTTGTCTTTGATTTGTATGCATAAGGAGGAATCCTTCAAGAATTTTTATATAAATAATATTGTTTAATGAGACATAAATAAGCCGTCATAACGTTCGACGCACATCTAAATTTAGAACATCAAATTTTATTTATTCGGGTGAACATCAAAACAGACCAGACAAACCTAGCAGTAAGGGGGTGAAGCCTGCTACCAAAACAGAAAGTCGGGAGACCATCTGCAACCACTCGAATTAGAGTTTTGATCGACAAAAGGAAATCTGTCGAGAGAAGTGTCCGTTCAATCGAAAGAGAAACAGTCAGAATCGCTAAGGCATCCGCGATGTGGTTCCTTTCCATATATATATATATATATGAGATATCTGCCATGCCGCATCTCTAGACCCTAAACCCTAAATCCGGCTGGAGGGGTAGTATTCCAGCGATGCAGTTTGGGACGAATTTTGATCGGGGATATTTCCGGCGCCTCCGGCGGCGATACGGCGGTGCTAGTAATCAGGTTAGGGATTTTTGGGGCTGATGAGTACAATGGCAATAGTGCGGTGGCAGGAAAATAGCTGAATCAATAGGTTGCTTAGTGGCGGTTTTGATCGGAAAATAGCGAAGTGGTGGAACAGTAGTGGCGAGTTCGGGGTTAGGGTTTTCGGTGGTGGGAAAGTCGATGGATGGTTTTGGGATTTTTTTGGTAAAACCTATATAGCAATGGTTGCACCCAGAGTGGGCTGCCTATGTACCCAAACGGGATCAAGCTATACGTAGTTCTGCTGATAAAAGCTATACAGTCCAAGTCAAACAAAACAGATCAGACAAGCCTAGATAGTCTAAGTATCAAAAGTCAAAGTCAACATGCCTAATACATCAATACCAACCAAGAAATACTAAGACTATCAAGTCTAAGTAATATCCATACTAAGTGTCCTAAAAAAGCAGTAAGGGGGTGAAACCTGCTACCTGAAAAAGAAAGTCGGGAGACCATCCGCAACCACTCGAATGAGAGTTTTGATCGACAAAGGGAAATCTGTCGTGAGAAGTGTCCGCTCAATCAAAAGAGAAGTCGTCAGAATCGCTAAGGCATACGCGTCGTGGTTCCTTTCCCTATATATATATGAGATATCTGCCATGTCACATCTCTAAACCCTAAACCCTAAATCCGGTTTGAGGGGCAGTATTCCAGCGATGCAGTTTGGGACGGATTTTGATCGGGGGTATGTACAGTGCGCCTACGGCGGCGATACGGCGGTGCTAGTAACCAGGTTAGGGATTTTTGGGGTTGATGAGCACAATGTCGATAGTGCGGTGGCCGGAAAATGGCTGAATCAACAGGTAGCTTAATGGCGGTTTTGATCGGAAAATGGCGAAGTAGTGGAATAATAGTGGCGACTTCGGGGTTAGGGTTTTCGGTGGCTGGAAAGTTGGTGGGTGGTTTTGGGGTTTTTTGGTAAAACCTATATAGTAATCGTTGCACCCAGAGTGAGCTGCCTACGTACCGAAACGGGATCAAGCTATACGTAGTTCTGCTGATAAAAGTTATACAGTCCAAGTTAAAAAAAAACAGACCAGACAAGCTTAGATAGTGTAAGTATCAAAAGTCAAAGTCAACATGCCTAAGACATCAATAGCAACCAAGAAATACTAAGTCTATCAAGTCTAACTAATATCAACACTAAGTGTCCTAAAAAAGCAGTAAGAGGGTGAAGCCTGATACCTGAAACAGAAAGTTTGGAGACCATCTGCAACCACTCGAATGAGAGTTTTGATCGACAAAGGGAAATCTGTCGGGAGAAGTGTCCGCTTAATTGAAAGAGAAAACGTCAGAATCGTTAAGGCATCAGCGTCGTGGTTCCTTTCCCTATATATATGAGATATCTGCAATGTCGCATCTCTAAACCCTAAATCCGGCTAGAGGGGCAGTATTCCTACGATGCAGTTTCGGACGAATTTTGATCGGGGGTATTTCTGGCGCCTCCGGCGGCGATACGGCGGTGCTAGTAATCAGATTAGAGATTTTTAGGGCTGATGCGCACAATGTCGATAGCGCGGTGGCCGGAAAATGGCTGAATCAACAGGTGGCTTAATGGCGGTTTTGATTGGAAAATGGCGAAGTAGTGGAATAGTAGTGGCGAGTTCGGGGTTAGGGTTTTCGGTGGCTGGAAAGTTGGTGGGTGGTTTTGGGGTTTTTTTGGTAAAACCTATATAGCAATCGCTGCACCCAGAGTGGGCTGCCTACGTACCCAAACGAGATCAAGCCATACGTAGTTCTGCTGATAAAAGTTATACAGTCCAAGTTAAACAAAACAGACCAGACAAGCTTAGATAGTCTGAGTATCAAAAGTCAAAGTCAACGTGCCTAAGACATCAATACCAACCAAGAAATACTAAGTCTATCAAGTCTAAGTAATATCAACACTAAGTGTCCGAAAAAAAGAAAAAGAGTGTCTAGCCTGCTACTTGAAACAGAAAGTTGGGAGACCATCTGCAACCACTCGAATGAGAGTTTTGATCAACAAAGGGAAATCTGTCGGGAGAAGTGTCCGCTTAATCAAAAGAGAAACTGTCAGAATCGGTAAGGCATCGGCGTCGTGGTTCCTTTCCCTATATATATGAGATATCTGCAATGTCGCATCTCTAAACCCTAAATCCGGCTAGAGGGACAGTATTCCAGCGATGCAGTTTCGGACGCATTTTGATCGGGGGTATTTCCGGCGCCTCCGGCGGCGATACGGCGGTGCTAGTAACCAGATTAGAGATTTTTGGGGCTGATGAGCACAATGGCGATAGTACGGTGGCCGGAAAATGGTTGAATCAACAGGTGGCTTAATGTCAGTTTTGATCGGAAAATGGCGAAGTAGTGGAACAGTAGTGGTGAGTTCGAGGTTAGGGTTTTCGGTGGCTGTAAAATCGGTGGATGGTTTTGGAGTTTTTTAGGTAAAACCTATATAGCTATGGCTGTACCCAGAGTAGGGTACCTACGTATCTAAACGAGATCAAGCCATACGTAGTTCTGCTAATAAAAGCTATATAGTTCAAGTCAAACAAAATAGACCAGACAAGCCTAGATACTCTAAGTATCAATAGTAAAAGTCAACGTGCCTAAGACATCAATACCAACCAAGAAATACTAAGTCTATCTAGTCTAAGTAATATCAACACTAAGTGTCCTAAAAAAATAGTAAGAGTGTGAAGCCTGCTATCTGAAACAAAAAGTCGGGAGACCATCTGCAACCACTCGAATGAGAGTTTTGATCAACAAAGGGAAATATGCCGGGAGAAGTGTCCGCTTAATCAAAAGAGAAACTGTCAGAATCGGTAAGGCATCGGCGTCGTGGTTCCTTTCCCTATATATATGAGATATCTGCAATGTCGCATCTCTAAACCCTAAATCCGGCTAGAGGGACAGTATTCCAACGATGCAGTTTCGGACGCATTTTGATCGGGGGTATTTCCGGCGCCTCCGGCGGCGATACGGCGGTGCTAGTAACCAGATTAGAGATTTTTGGGGCTGATGAGCACAATGGCGATAGTACGGTGGCCGGAAAATGGTTGAATCAACAGGTGGCTTAATGGCAGTTTTGATCGGAAAATGGCGAAGTAGTGGAACAGTAGTGGTGAGTTCGAGGTTAGGGTTTTCGGTGGCTGTAAAATCGATGGATGGTTCTGGAGTTTTTTAGGTAAAACCTATATAGCTATGGCTGTACCCAGAGTAGGGTACCTACGTATCTAAACGAGATCAAGCCATACGTAGTTCTGCTGATAAGAGTTATACAATCCAAGTCAAACAAAACAGACCAGACAAGCCTAGATAGTTTAGGTATCAAAAGTCAAAGTCAACATGCCTAATACATCAATACCAACCAAGAAATAGTAAGACTATCAAGTTTAAGTAATATCCACACTAAGTGTCCTAAAAAAGCAGTACGGGGTGAAGCCTGCTACCTGAAAAAGAAAGTCGTGAGACCATCTTCAACCACTCGAATGAGAGTTTTGATCGACAAAGGGAAATCTGTCGGGAGAAGTCTCAATCGAAAGAGAAAATGTCAAAATCGCTAAGGCATCTGTGTCGTTGTTCCTTTCCCTATATATATGAGATATCTGCAATGTCGCATCTCTAAACCCTAAATTCGGCTGGAGGTGCAATATTCC